TCCTCGCTCCAGCGCCTGGGCCGAGGGGGTGCGGGCGCCCCTAACCGGAACCCCTAGCGCCTCTCAGCGGCACCAGCCTGACCTCCGCCCCAGGTATCCGGCGGAGGCGTGCAGGGCGCTCGGATGGGAGGAGAGGAGCAATGGCGAGTCTGGGGATGATCCGGACAGTACGGGGCCTCCATGCCCAAGAGCCCGTCCTTTGAATGGGGTCAGCAAAGCCAGCCCTGCCCAGGGCTGGGGCTCCCTGAGCGGAGAGGAAAACGGCTTCGAGGGGAAAGCGCTGTGTTTGCAAGCGCATCGATGCTGGGGGGACAATGGAAGCAGAAATGGATCCGGAACGCCGGCTGGTGCGTTTTCAGTGGTTCCCCCGCACGTGGTTATGTCCAGTGAATCCTGAGCCAGCTTTAGGTGAGAGTTTGGTGATTCCGGAGGAAATGCCGGCGGAGAACAACGGGACCACGTTCTACGCCCGCAACAAGTTAGGCCTCGATAATCAGAGGATCCGTGTGGTTTTTAAGTCTCAAGCCTGAGAGGGGAAATCCATGGACAGAGTAAAGGAAAGTACGGAAGCTTCCGGACACAACACAAAACTAAGTGAATCAGCGGTGGAGGAAGGTCTCAGAACTGCTCGTCTCCAGCGGCATCTTTATACATAAAAGGCCAAGTGACCGGCCCTCCCACCGACCAGCAGGTACACATGACGCGCAGTGGCAATCTAAAAATGAACGTTGACTCATGCATGCGTGATGCATACAAAGCTCTCGCTGGAGCCAGTCGCTCGCGTGTTTCCAGCGGTCATTGTCGATGGTGAATTTGGTTGACACTTCTATTATAGAGAAAGGCGAATAGCGATATTAAAGTATTTCTTCTAATTCATTTCCTTTCAATGTGCACAGGCCACTAGTTTAAGTATAATAATAAAAGACTGGTTACGGGCACTAATGTATCCAGAAGGAAGGGAAAATGCTCTCTGCCAATGGTCGCCAACCTTCCGGACCTCACGGACCCACAGCGGTCCGCGCACCACCGTCTGGTGACCGCTGCATGGACTGTTCCTGTGTGTGTGTGTGTGTGTGTGAGAGAGAGAGAGAGGTTTTAAGTTATTAGTTTTAAAATGAGTACTATTTAATGGAAACATCTTTTTTAAAAAAAATATATTTCTTTATTGATTTCATAGAGAGAGGGAGGAGAGAGAGACAGAAACATCCATGATGAGAGAGAATCATTGATCGGCTGCCTCCTGCACACCCCCCACTAGGGATCGAGCCCGCAACCCAGGCCTGTGCCCTTGGCCGGAATCGAACCTGGGACCCTCAGTCCGCAGGCTGACACTTTATCCACTGAGCCAAGCCTGCAGGGCAATGGAAACATCTTGACTAAAAAATTTGTTGCAGAATTTTGAGGCCCACTGAAACAAAGTTTAATGAGAAAGAAAAATGGCACTGCTCGGCCGGTGTGGCTCAGTGGTCAACCTATGAACCAGAAGGTCACAGTTCAATTCCCGGTCAGGGCACATACCCCGGTTGCGGGCTCGATTCCCAGTGCGGGGCGTGTAGGAGGCAGCCAATCCATGATTCTCTCTCATCATTGACGTTTCTATCTCTCCTCCCTTTCCCTTCCTCTCTGACATCAATAAAAATATATTAAAAAATAAAATAAAATGGTACCAAAAATCAGTAGGAAATGGATGGTGCTCGGTCGATGGCACAGCATGGCCACAGACCCCTCCAGCCTGGGGGTTAGCACCGGGACTTTGTGAGTCCTCGATTTGGGAGGGGCGCCTTTTCCTCCCCCTGCCTGGGACGGGCAGCTGTACCAGTGCCGGGCGGGACCGTTATCTTTCCTCGCTGGACGTCCCTGGCTTGCTCGGCGACACGGGGACAATGCTGGGCACTTCCATTCTCTCCTCCACTTTCCACAGATTGTACTGCTTCTCTTCGATGTTGCCGCGGCTTCACAGAGCTGGGCTTTCACTGGTTGCCGTGGAAGTGCAGGTGGCGCTGGCCGATCTGATTTAAGGTTGCAGAAATTGCAACATGCCCAATAGGGCACCCCCTCCCTTAGTAAATAATCGGGATATTAAGGAATAAAATAAAAATACCTTTTCTCTCTATGTATATGCATTTTATGTCAAACAGCTATTTAATTGTTAGAACGTAAGTCCTAATTAAGTTGTCTGGATCTAACTGTGTACTGAACGTAACAGCTCAAGCCTCTTGTTTTTCTGTTTTTTCCTTTTGCCCAGGGGCACCGTGAAAAACCACCGGGGCACAAGGACACCCTGAGCTGGGAAGTTGGGCACCTCCGCTCCACACCCTTCATCAGAACTCACTGTTGGTGCTGAATTCCTCTCAATGGACGTTGATTTGGGTTCTTGGTGGTAGCTTTAAGCTTTCCCTCGAAAATTATCCTGAAAAATGTTTACGTATCTTTGTGCACCAAGATTCATAGCAGCGTTTATTCACAACAGCCACAAGAAGGGGCACCCGGCGTCCATCGGTTGATGAGTGGATAAACGAGGTGCAGCTTATCCATGCAGTGGAGTATTAGTCAGCCTGAAAAGCAAGGGAATCTGACAGCCGCTACGAGGTGGGTGGCACTTGAAGACACTGTGTTAAGTGAAAACAGCCAGTCACAGGAGGACCAAGACTGTATGATCCCACTTCTGTGAGGCACCTAGAGTGGTCAAGGTCCTGAAGACGGGACAGTGGCTGCCAGGGACTGGGGAGGGGATGGGGATCTACGGTGGAAGGGGTAGAGCTGCAGTTCTCCCAGGTGAAAAGGCCTGCGTTTGGGTGGCGATGGTCATACAACTCTGTGAATGTACTGACGGCCAGTGACTGGTACACTGAAATGGTTAAAGCAGTGAATTTTATGTTACATATATTTTACCACCTTAAAAAATTTTTTTGGGAAGTCATGGGGTACTATCACCATTTCTAGGACATAAATTCAGATTCTCACCTACAGAGGGCGCCATTGACAGCAGCTAGAGGCATCCCGGGTTGGCTAGCCGGTGACCTCCTGAATCCCAGGTGTCTCCCCTCCCGGCTGCCGCCCAGGAGCCGGGGCCTCCAGCCTCTCCCCTTGACTCCGAAGCTCTGCCAGAGGGTTTCACGTGTGTTCACCAAGAACCATCTGGACACACACGTGAACGCCTCCTCTTGCCTCCCTCCTGGGAGACACTCCCGGAGGGACCCACGTGCTCTATACATACAGAGTGTCACTCAGCCCAGAAGAGGACGTCCTGACCCCGGAGGAGCCTCGAGGGCATCATGCCCAGTGAAAAGAGCCAGTCACAGCAGGACAGCCGCTAGGATGCCACTCGGTGAGGCACCTGCCGGCCTCAGCAAGACAGAGCGTGGAACAGTGGAACCCGCGGGGACAGTCCAGCTGGGAGTCCCCTCACGGTGCTCCCAGAGCCTCCAAGTGCGTTTGCGCCACGTGCTTCTGCAAAGAGAAAAATACCAGCATCTTAGGAACAAACTGAGCTGTGACTCACATGCAAAAACAAATGAGCCGGGCCGGGTGGCTCAGTGGTTGAACACCGACCTATGCACCGGGAGGTCACAGTTCAATTCCCGGTCAGGGCACAGGCCTGGATTGATCCCCAGTGTGGGGCAGGGGGCAGCCGATCCGTGGTTCTCTCTCATCACTGATGTTTCTCTCTCTCCCTCCCCTCCCTTTATGAAATCAATAAAAATATATATTAAAAAAACAAATGAAAAAGTGCATGTAAGAATAGATGAAGGGATGTCAAGGCATTAGCACGGATTTCACCAGTTCTCTGAAACCCACATCTAGTTTAAAGGTTACGGGGCTTGGAGAGCCTAAATGGACTTCAGAGCCTGGCCTCTCGCTCTGCAGACGTGCAAAAGCAGGAGGCCGGGTCGAGGCCTCTGGGCAGCTGGCCGGCCGCGGCAGAACATGGTCGCCTGCACCCGCCGCCTCTGACCTTGGCTGGACTGCACAGGGGCCGGCACCATTCCGCTCGCATTCCTTCAAGGCCTCCTCCCGCGGCTTTTGAAGTCGGCCTCCCCAGCCGCCCAGCCTTTGCTGCCTGCGGCCTCCGATGCCAGCTCCACAAACAAACCCCCATTTGTTGCCTCTAAAAATAAGCCTTTTTAGCTCTGGACCACATTCAGCTCGCTCTCCGGCTGAAAGGTTGGTTGCTTTGTGGCTGACAAATGGAGGCTTCTATCTTCCCAGAAGGGCCGCAGCCCAGCCCGTCCCACTGACAGCCTGCGGCCCCACCTGGGTGGGCAGGTGAGGGGAGACGCTCGGGGCGGGAGTCATGAGCACCTTCCAAGATGGGCTTGGAGGGAGGGACGGGATGTAACAGAGCTGGGAAGACGGCACAGGGCTCTTCCAAAAGAAAAACACAGAGGCAGGAAGCCCGGCCGGCGGGGCTCCGTGGTTGAGCGCTGACCTATGAACCAGGAGGTCAGGGTTCGATTCCCGGTCAGGGCACATGCACAGGTTTAGGGCTCGATCCAGCGAGCGGCGAGCAGGAGGCAGCTGATCCATGATTCTCTCTCATCACTGATGCTTCTCCCTCTCCCTTCCTCTCTGAAATCAATAAAAATATCTTTAAAAAATAAACCAAGGCAGGAATTAGGCCTGAAAACAGGAAATGTACAGTCGTCCCCCCTCATCCGTGACGGATTAGTTCCCAGACCCCAGTGGATGCCTAAAGCCACAGAGAATACCCAAGCCCTACATGTATGATGCCCTTTGCTATACACTCGCACCTACAATAAAGCTTAACTTGTGAGTTGGGCACAGTAAGAGACGGGCACCCATAGCTGATAAGAGAACAGCGAGGCGATGCCCTGGAGCGGAGGGTACGAGAGCGCGGTCTCGCTTACTGGCACCGGCGTGGAGACGCTGGGCAGAGCGGTGACTCACAGCCGAGCTCCGAGGACGGAGCAGACGGCAGACGATGTCATCACAACGCTACTCAGAACAGCACACGACCGGAAACTTATGAATTGTTTATTTCTGGAATTTTCCATGTAATCTTTTCAGGCTGCCATTGGTCTCAGGTAACTGAGACCGCGGAAAAGAAAGCTTCAAATACGTGAAGGACGGTCCTTTGGGCTTCCCGCAAGGACGCCGCCTCGCACACGGAATGGGTGTAGTGGGTACAGAGGCGAGACACCACCCGGCGGGGCTGCCGCAC